ATTCAGACAGCTGTGGCGACGGCAAGCAGTACCAAATGCAGCTACCCAAACATACCATACCTTCTTCGAAAGCAACGGACAACAGCTAGGAAAGCATCACGTTGCGATATGATTAGATATAGATATTCACTGGGAATTAGATTATTGAGAAGAGTAAAAATAAGATAACGGGAAATCGACATTCAAAATATACCACATCATTCTCAAGCATAGGTACAGTGGATATACATCTAGATAATACACATTATACAGAAAGACAGTCTACAGAAAGATGGTTTGTGTGCTCAAATAAACGCTTAGAACTTTGACTAACAGCCGACTATAAGATGCAAACGCTGGTCGAGCTTTTTTAGGTTCGTAAAGTTTGCAATGGTAAATATACTTGTAGTCGGTAAAAATATGCATTTTTTCTATCATCGATAGCGTAAACACATCATCGTAATTGTGATAGGTGTCGTTTGGCCTTCGTTGATTTTTCGCGTTAATTATTATCTATTCTATCTAAAACCAAATCATCTGCCGGTCATTTGCCTGCCGTAACAGTGGCAGCCTTTAAGCGAATATTTCAATAAAGTAGACTTCTGTAATAATAAATAATCGTGACTTTACGCATTTGCGCAATGTTAATACGATTTTTTATATTGAACCAGCAATTAATATGTAATTGTTAAGCTGCATTCTCAGCCTGTTTCTGCCGTGCCTATTACGGTTCAAACGGGCTCAACGATAGAAAATCACAAACCACACACGCAGTTGCCAATATAATATCAACATTTACAGCAGAGCTATGAAGCTTGACTAGGAAATATATTTCATTGACCAGTTACTTAGATTTCTACACTATGAAGTGAATCATCTACGGCAGTCACAAACAGCGGCGGTCACCTACTAAACACCGCACTAGCGTTCCTAATTCTGTAAAACAATATTTATCGCGGTTTTCGGATCCTATTTTTTGAATCACGTCAGACTTTTTTACTCCCTTAATATTTGTATATTCAAAATACATACATCGTGCCCATGCTCTTTGTCTGAATGACGTTTCTTCCTCCGAGCCATACATGTGTTACCACTACTTCCATCTATTTATGTGTAATCTATCGTCACACACTAAAGCGCTCGGCTGTACCCGTAAAACGAGTGAGCTGTTTGACAGGTGTCGACCGTAGGTGTCGCAGACATAACCCAGTCACCTTCGGCCATAAGCCAGTCGTACGAATGGTTTAGCGACTGATACGAAGTGATAGCGCTGCTTGGCGTATCGAACGCCAAAGACTGCCACCGCACCTGCAAACAGTGTCAGTACGAATCTGATACATTTGTTTTTTGTTATCAGGAACAAAATCGCTCAAGCGGCTTATATGGTTTGAAGTCAAAACAGCATCAGGTAGCAATAGCACTAGCTGTAACACCAGTACGGGTCAAACACCCGGGCAAGCGACTGAATGTCTATCTATTGCACGATGGTATGTGTTCACAGGTACACTATGCTTCGTCTTGAGAAAACTCTGGCGCGGAATTGACAGAACGTTATTACAATTATCTACCCTACGGCACTTAATACGACCGCAACTACGGCCGGTACCACTATATCTTAACTAAGTAACGCTCATTTGCCTTAACGAAATGATTATTAAACTAATGATATCGACGCGATGGTAATGTTTTGTCATCACCGTAATGAGACGAGAACAGTAACTGAAGACAATGAGACCACAAGTATCACACAGCGTACGTCGTCTACTTCAGTCATTGTTTACTTCTATTACAAACATCTGTACTTTCAATATCATTGGCCAAGCAATACATATGAAACAATGACTAAACAATAGGCAGGTTGGTATAGCGCTTGCGAGTGGCGCAGCTTAAAACAGTGGTTTTATTGAATTGATTGCTCGTGGCAACAATATTTTTGGCAATCGCTATCTCTAGAAGACGAGAATGAGCCTTATGGTTGCTTATTGTAATGCCAGCAAATCTCTTCGTTCCGCTTGTCCATCAACAAATATCAAGTCTTCTAGACCAAGCATGCCTGTTTGCATGTCACTGCTATGAAGTCTGTCTGTATCCGACAGGTATAATTGGCTTAATCGAGGAATAAACTAGACGTTGAGCGCGTCGCTTTTTCGCCAAGCGGAGTAGCTTAAACGTAGACTTAAAAAACAATTGAGTAATACTCGGCTTTGCAATTTGAATCCTATCAGGCACATGCAAACAGAACTGAGGAAATCTCAATGCCAAATTCTGTCTTTACGATTATTTCCAACCACTACTCCATTTCTCCATTACCAGGCAATATATTCAAAGCCATCAAGGCATAAAAATACTAATATTGCTTTTCTTTGATATGAGGCACATGCGCCCTACATTCTGACTGCAACGGATCTTCTCGATCTGTCGAAAACGCATAAACCTGTTGAGAAAAACACAGTAGATTAGCAAACAAACGAAACGACACTAAGGCCACTGACCGTCTAGCATATTACGATTCAGCTTGCCGCTTTTTTGCGTCGTTTATTCCGTGTTTGTCACCGATATCGTCTCTGCCTTCGTCTTCGTCGGACCGTCGGTCAAGCCCTGGACACAAACGTATATTTATAATCAGCCATTTCATGTCAGTCACAGTTCATCCGATTGAGTGCGACGTTGAGTTCAATAAGACAAGACAAGTGAACACTTGACGACGACAGAGTTGGTACCAGCCAGCATTGTCACTATGATAATCACAACAGAACAATTTGAACACGCTCACACACACATAGACATCATACGCGAGTTCTCCTTTTAATCAACCCCATTATCGCTGGCTGTTGCCAAGAGATCCGTGCGTATTATCCTATGCTGGACAAACGCTAAGGAAGTACTTGCACGAGAACTGCTCCTCTATGGCGAAAATGGTCTTACTATCGATTTCTTGCTAATGCGCCGACTTCCATCATAGATTAAAATACTGCCGCCGAAAGTACAAGTCATATCGGTTAAAAACCAGCAGAAGTCTTAGTCTAATCCATATTAAAAATTTAGATTTTTGAATACACTGATGCATCATGATTGGGAATGGAATAATCTATTTATGACAGGTTACCTCAAATGAGGCCAAAACACATTTTACAGGAGTAAATGAAGGAGTGACCAGGAGGACATCTATATATGATGCTCACAACACTCATCTATAAATACAGAAAAAACGAAGAAAAGGTATCACAACAACCTGGTCGCGACCATATTGCGAATCTGTAAGATGTGATTGTCCTTATCGTCGTGTAACTTTAGATTTCCAGTCATTCTTTTCGTTTTCGTTGCAGTCATAGGGGCGTAGACCTAATGTTAGTTGACTAGAGCATTGATGTTAGCGTGAGAGTTCCTGCTCGAGAATAATCAGAAACAAAGCCAAACCCCACAAGTAGAGAGAGAAGATTTTTTTATTACTAGCCTAGTGCTGTGCAATCAGGAAACGACAGTCGCTATTACTATATGGCGGACCTCAAATGGCTACAACGATGACAGAGCTTGCACCGCACAGACTTTCTATTGCTTTCGGACACCCAGACTATACGCATAAACTCACACTGTTAATGAGCTAGCTTATTCATTTACGCACGTACGTACGCACACACGGACGGACGCAGGACCGACCAGCGGCCAACCCATACGTCTCATTGCCTCCCACCTCTGGCAGCAGAATCACGCGAAGCAGATGCTCGTTTTCGCTCGGTACGATTGCTGCTGTGCTAGCCTACCAGATTCTAAGCACAGTCTGGGTAGTCTGTTCAGAACACCGTTGTCTCGAGTATACAGTATGTTTTTATATAGATAGGCAGACCCAGTGGCCGGCAAACAGGCTCAGAGGACCACCATCAGAACAGGCAGCAGCAGAACTACTGATCTAAGCTTGGCCACCGTTCTTACGGTGTTTCTTAGTCGGCCTTTCTCCTCCGAGAGCTTTTCCTCTGTTCTGCGGTCTTTATCAGCACTGGCTGCTGCAACGCTGGCGCCGCTCTGGCGCACGTCTAGTCCTGTTCACTTTCTGCAGTAGAGTGAGCGGCGATGGAGGCAGCAGCAGTGGCGGCGGCGGCAACAAAACCAACGCGAAGTTCACCGCTGTGCAATCGTTGTTCTCTCGTTTTCAAACAAAATTGTTCACACTACCGTTCATAATACTGCTCACTCGCTTCTATTGCCCACTCGGGCAACTGCTACACAGCTAATGTTTTGGATATAACCAACCCCAAAGAACGGGTCTGAGGGACATCAGTTCATTAGTTGACTTTGGGTTCTCAGCGAATTGTGATTAATTAGCTTGGTAGAGCAGTATGTGCTTAGTGTTAATATGCTAGGCATCACCTTTGTCAAATAATACATTCATAGCAAAGCACTAGTGTTCAACTACAATTTATAGAAGTATATTCTATTTCGTCGCTCTTCGTCGATTCACTTTATTGGATCCCCGCTGCCAGGCGGCAGTTGCACCGCCCAGTCGTCACTTCCTCGGATGCGCACTCATTTTGCTAGAGTGAGTGGGGATACATACGCCTGACAGAAAAACACGTGTCGCTTAGTTTTGAAGTTTAAATAGAACGTGAAGTTACAACGAACATCATTACACAAACAAAAACAGTAATGATGCTAGTACAAATAATAAAAATAATATTTGATAAATAAGTGCTTCAAGTTTAACGTTTGTTAGTACCATTGGACATTTGTTTCAGGCGCAATACTGACACCCGATAATAACTAACCGCTCCACCCAAATTTCTGCTATTGCTTCTCCTTCCGTCACCTGCCTTCGTTAGCCAAACAGCAAATTACGTCCACACGCATACACATCCTGCTGTGCATGGATTTTTAGAAATCCACCACAATAAAGGCGGCCGTTCTAAGCAAGCCGACACAACTTTAGAGTCTCGGTCGTGTAAAAATACTTAAAGCATTTGTCAAATAGCAATTAGCGGCAACTGATCTCACCTAGATAACAGATACTGCAAAGAGCAAATATTTACCTTAAATGCGTCCAGAGATGCCCTCGAAGTTAGTTCGACATTACTCTCACTGTCATACCAACATTAAAACAAGGTTTCCTTAGGTCACAGTTTCTAGCTTCAAACAATTGTAGGACAAGTTTCGTTGCGACGGTCGAATAACAGAAATTGCTGCAACAGGAGCATGTGTCGCTGCTAGTGTTGTTATTGTTACTTTGTTGTTCACTAGGAGGATGACATATCCAAGGAGGCCAAGGAACAAGGAAGGCCCTTAGCTGTCAACGCAATAACACTTCAAGTGGAAACACGCAAACTTGCTACGTCGCTATGAATCGATAACTCGGTGTTCTATTCAATCATCGCCATATCAAAAGCAAATTGAATGCTCCGAACAAACACAACTACGCACAGTCTCCTCCTCTTCTGTACTGATTCGTCTGCAGGCGCTCAGCGCATCGACAGCTAGATTGTGAGTGCTGCTGCCATTCGATTGCCTCTTATTTGCCAGCAGCAAATAGCAGTTGTTGTGTGCAGCAATAACGTTCATGCGTCTATCCACCGCTGCTGGCGCCGCAGTCGGCCCTACCATCAACTCAAACAGCCGATCTAGCTTTCCACCGACAACACGCCATTTAGAGGACGGTGCTGACGATGACGACGACGACGACAATAACGATGAAAAAGACGAAAAGCTGAAACACCAACTGTCTATAAACCACTCTACAAAACTAGCACACCAAACCCATAAATGGTCACTAGCCTACACATTATTCAGCCGCTGGTGGCGCTAAACGCTATATGGGTAGGATGGCGCTACAGTCGCTAGACGGACAGTGGCGGCAATAAGACAGCCCGCTGCAACCTCAGAAAAATACAAAAGTTGATGAGAAGTTCGAGCTACAACTGATCAACGAATGACAAAAAAACGCGAGAATTTCCGCTAGTATGATAGGCCAGCGGGTGTAGTCTACTAGGCAATAATATTGTTATTACAATAGAGGCGTGAGCTAAGCAAATTTAAAAATCGCAAAGCGCGCGTAGTTTCTCGTCAAGGAGAGAACACCTTGGCCGCGCCAAGCTAACAAAAGAGCTTATTTTGCCGCTTGCTGTGCTAATTAAACAAAAAAAAAAACTGTGCTTCGTTATTACAAAGTATCTATTGCCTTGTAAACGAAATAAAAAAAATAAAGGCAAGATCTATCTTTCACCAGTTCCATACGACCCTTTAGTTAATGATGTGGATATTTTTCAGTGACTACCTTCATTTGAGTCAACGCTAGCAGTTATCGGACAAGGCGCCGAGAATTTTTTAGATAGTTCAACTAAGGTACTTGCTCAGATCTTTAAGAAAAAAAATAAAAAGTAAAAAAGATCGAATACATGTTAATTTCTTACTCTGTTTAGGCTTGTGTCTTCATATTTTGAGAGGCGTTTCCTTATAATATCTATATCGAAAAAGTCCTTCTTACGTTTCTGACATCTTATGGTTTAGCAGGCATATATTTCATAAGTTTTTTTTTGGTATTTGACAGCCATACCGCGAATATAAGTATTACTTTTGATAGGTAATTTTCGTAAATAAATACAAACGTTCTGATTGGTACAATTTAACCATAGATTTCTTTCCAAAAAATTAAGATGTCTCACTGTTTACTTTAAGAAATAAAGGAATTGCGCATAACGTTGGCATTTGGCGTTATAATAATGGTAATAGCCTCTGCAGGTGGCATAGCGATAACTTTGGCTCTCGATCACTCTAGTGACTATGTTTAATACCGTATACTGCGAGAAATGAAAAGTTTTTGAAGGTGACTTGCTCATACACAAAAATCAAAATACGTCAAATGAGTTTGGGAGATGCTAACAATTTCTCCTTTTCCTACCTTAAAATAAACAAGTTACAATATAAGATTGATATTTACGCGGTAATATATTTCTTTATCACATAACGCAATAATATTATAGATATTTTAGCTAATAGTGACGTTTACTGAAGTTTATTTTCGTCTTCTTCACGTCAGAAAGAACTTGCGACATAATATATGCCGCAGTTTCTTTACACAAT